CACACACACACACACACCACACACTCACACACACACACACACACACGCACGCCCACACACACCTCACTCCCCCCCCCCCCACCCACCCACTCACTCACCCACATGCACAGACACCGTGTACCATGTATACGCCTGTCGCAAGAGAGGCCCACTAATTTGCAAATGTACTCAAACTGGATGTGCACCCACAAAATTTATTTTCTCTTATACACTGTCGCCACGATAGCGGAGGACAAGATCCGAATAAAACAGATCAAGACTAGCGCCAGATAACTGTCTAACCCACACGACTGGGGAAGCCACCTGAATCGACCCCCTAGTGCACACCTGGTCTACACTACACGGAGTACACCGGAATTGGACGGCAAAGACAGTCACCTCTGCACATCATACTCTTGCTGGGGTAACCAGTATAGACAACACGCTCATTTTGTCATCACCTGCACCATCTCCACCACTGCAGTATATTTACACGTGTTTGGACACACATCAGCATGCTGACCTGCACAAACCAGTCACTGTCCTCACACACAGACATTGTGCCGGCACGCTACCCATGCGTTTCTGCACAAACAGCTCTTCTGCATGCGCATGCTTTCCATGCCTGGGCGCACACCCAGCACATCTGTGCGCACCCACACGTCACATCTGTGCGCGCACATGCCACATCTGTGCACCCACATGTCACATCTATGCACGCACACGGCACATCCGTGCACGCATGCTACCCCTACCCATACGATGCACATGAATGACTGATGTATAAAAAGAGTGCCCGCACACATGGACAGCAGCCACCAGATGCAGCCTGCTGAATTGTATACTTTGACATAGCAATGTTTACATACATAACTGCGGGCTGCATAGTATGAAAAGTAAATACCGCATGCAATGCTCTTCCCACACAAACTCAGTGTATGTTATAATTGTATGATGCAATGCTTGCGACATGCTTGTGTGCTTATTAGACACACAGTGCATTCCATTACGCAATTCTCTGCAAAGTACGAGAAATTCGCAGCACCTCCCCCCCCCCCCCCTTCCTGCATCCAGCCGCTTAGAAACACACACACATACACACACACACACTTGAGCGCACGGATGCACTCGCAGACCTTTGACCTATATACATAATTACGCCAACAGCCGCCCTGTAACTGGGTGCATGCCATCATACCAAAATAATGTCGTCAACTTTTGTAGTTGCACACTCTGGGGGCAGCAGGGGTGAGATTCCTGGATGCACGTTTGCAGTACGAATGCTCCAATACTAGTACAGCCATGTACTACTAAACCAGAAAATGAATAATTTTAATTGTAACAGCTGTGTAATTTAGATGAACTAAGGAACCCTACCCCTGCAAGAATGTTACTCTGCCCCATGCAAGATGAAGTCTTCGTGTGCATGCAACGGATTATTATTATAGACGCGTAGTCCGCATTGAGCACGGGAGCACGTGCACCCCCCCCCCCCCACACCTAAATGTTTCGACCTACGCCTCTGAGTACGAATACAAATACTGTCGAAAGTCACTATTAGTTTTCAATGAAGGCACATTTGTCTGGGGCGAAGTCGGGGATTCGCCCCATACGTTGCATTTCGCGTGGCAAGACAATATTGGAAAGTGGAAAAATGGGAGACAGGGTAACTGTTTTCCATGCCCCCCCCCCCCTACTATTTTGATGGGGTTGGAACCCTGACTATGAATGACATGCGCCAGCCATCTTACACATATGCGTCTGTGCAAACACCTGAAAAGGACACCAGCTACATGTCCGCCCCGGGTTTAGACCATTTCCTCAGATCATATTCACGTCAACTAGTCTCAGTGTGTAGGATGAATGCAACTGGACCATTCATTAAATTTTGATGACGAGTTACGTTATCAGGGGCGACAGGGGGGGGGGGGGACAAGTGTTTCCATAGCCAACCCTGCTTATTGCACTTGGACGTACAGTCGTGTGCTGCAGCGCAAGTGCACTACTACGCAAGTTTTATGCCATAAATACTGTCCTGGACATTCATATCCGGTCGATTGACCGGGGCCGGCGCCCTCAGCGCGTACAGAACGCTGCGTGCAGGGCACATGTTGATCCGATGCGACTAGCGCGCTGCAGCGCATAAAATGCATGTGTGTACCGCTTATCCACGGCTGCAGGGCCAGCACAATGTCAATGGGGCCGCTAGACGTGCGACAGGATTTCCATGCTCACAACAGTCAGTATGTTACTACAACGGATTCACTCAAATATCCAAGAATTCTTTGCGCAGAGCTTATACACAACAGCGCACACTTACCTCGACTGGCTCGAGAGGATAATCTTCCCCGGATTTTCCACCGCAAAGTGTGGTGTTGCTTTGCAGCGACGCTCCACACCGGAGACTAGACTGAACGACTGGATCGTAGGACGCTACGGTGCCGATAGAGTCAAACCTGCAGCTAAAGTATTCAGCGTAATCACTAGGGAAATGCTGAATTACTCATTCAAGGACCAAAATAAAGATCCTTCTTTGATTCCTAGCTGCTCTCACTCTCAGGCTGGAGCGTAGAAAATCTACGGGTCGGTGTAGTGGAATAGGCACCCACAGACTCGACTACACTTCAACCTGCTGTGCGTGTACAAGACGTGAAGACTTGAACGTTCGCAGTGCTCATACCAGGTGTGTCAACACCAACACAAACAAACTAATTACTTCTCTCCGCATCATGTAGACCTGGTAGACTAGACTCAGATTACAGTACAATCATGTAGGGAGTCGTACAAACCTGAAGTCTCCGGGGTGAAGATTCTACGACTCACTGCCTGTGACTGTCCAGACTGTCTTGAGCCAGTTGAGGCAGAGTGACAGTCTGCAGACGAGTCCGAGGCCGGGGATGCAGGTGACGTAACTGTCGTTTGTTTAGGGCAAAAAGAAGAATTTTTCGTTTTATGACAGTTTTCATGTCCATGCACATACATACATACTTTATGCAACAGCCGCGCCGAAACGGCAAAACGCCAAAAGCTCAAAAGAACAAAATAATACCGGTAATTGTCAAGCCAAGAGATCTACATGATCATACATCTAACTAGATTAACAGTTTACTACTTGCTACGCTGATCAGGATGGATACGTCGCCTCAGCAGCCCACAGTTCTATGTCACACCCAGCAGCCTTCCTTTCACTATACCGCTGGCTGAATTTCAATTATCGAGGTTTGTGAAGTATTTGTCTTGTGCCGCTAGCAATCTTCAGATGTGACGTTAGACGTTCGTGATGATTTGTTGGCTTTCACTTGGCGTCTACTTTTCACCTATCTTTGTCACTACCTCAGTACCATTTGTGACGTGTAAACTAGCGCAACCTATTCCTGTGTACCTCTCCTTCTCATTGTGAATGATTTAGCACTTGTGATAGTTGTGTCTGGTAGGGTTCAGAACACCTCCATTCTGCACTATTCCTTTTGTGTTGATATGTCACATAATATGTCAACTAACTCACATATTATGTGAGTTAGTTGAGTGTTTACACCTCAGTGCGCCAATATCTTGTCTATAAAAATAGCTAAACCCCTTCATTCAACAACTGCTTCTCCTCTGATGAGTTCCCCGTTATTATCCCTATGGAACGAAACAAGACTTGTCAGGAGTACTACTACTTGCTTTCGTGGAGTGTGGCTGGTGAACTGTTCGTGCGGTGATCTGCAAGCGTCGTATGGTCTCGTCGGGTCAAAATGAAAAACCTACTACTACGATAATATTATCATTATCACGGTTCACCTAGTACCTGGCTTTACATTTTCGTTGATTTTGATCCGCTTTGCAATTTGCGGGATTTGGTGCGCACGGTACGGAGTTTGATCTGCGGCTTGCTGTACCGGTATGCGAGCATGGACTGGAAAACAAACAAAAAATCTTTATTTTGTATGCGCGCATTTTGCATAGCACGGACGTCACCATGGTCACCAGTCCTTCGGACTCGCTATATCGCGTATGCGACGTATCGATCGCCACTTCAGATGATCACTCCGCGATCCGGTTCACATGGTTCATAGTCAGAGAGCTAGCCTGTAGACCCAGGTGCTCGAAGTCCGTACACTTTTACAGTGTGTGTTTGCCGAGCTGAAACTCGCACTAGCAATGATCACTTGCCAGAATCCTGCTCGTGGATGGAAGGTATCTTGTCCAAGTTTGTTCTGAGGCCAGGCTCGATTGAACCAGGCCATCTTTCGATCCGATCTGTTTCTCTGCAGTTCGCTGATTTTTCATATCAAATTTTGGTGTCGCAGAGGGTACTCTAAGTCCGTACTGATCAGAGGTGACTCGAAATACACACATATTTCTGCTAATTGCTAACTTGCAATCCCTCGGTTACGACGAAAGCACCGAAGGGATATGTTTGGCATGTGCCTCCACCAGTGTTTCTTGCAAAAGCGGAGTTTGTTGCCGAAATGCGAGCTGTTTTAGTCGGCTCAGAGAAGAAGCAGCTGCGCTGTGAAAACCGCGGGAAAACAGTGGTGGAGATGCCAGGAGTGTCAACCTTTCTGCAAGGATTGGTGGTTCTCTGTAAATTCTTCTCCTCTGGCCATTGTCAGCTCTAAGCTGGCTCTTGATGATTGAGTGAAGGTCTGTTTGACGCTGTGTCCGTTCGAAATCGGTCTTGGCAAAGTTGATTTTTTCATGAAATGTAACCCAATTTGTATTTCGTATGGACACTCGAAAACCCACTCGCGTGGTATGGGACTTCTGCTTATCGTAGATCCCTGAAAATTGCTACGCGAGGAGAACATACCACACTGTCCCCTCCATAAAATATTTGAGTCGAATACAATAACAGAACATGAAATTATGGGCGTACGAACTTAGGATACCATGTACGGACTTCGAGCACCTGGGTCTACCATGTGTACAGACTGTAGTCAGGTCTACGGGTTTGTACGGCTCCCTGATCATGGTCTACCGGTCATCATGTAGTCTACAACAGTACAAGACTACATGATGCGGAGAGAACTTATGAAGTAACATAGTTACCGTAGTTGTCTTTATCATGTCTTGACTCTTGGCAACTAACTTGGTTACTTACTGGAGTCTTGGTTTTGTTACACCTGCTAACACGAGCACTTCGAACGTTTATACTTTATAGTCTTCCATGGTCTTCACATTCACACAAGGCTGACGTGTAGTCGAGTCTGTGTCTGCCTATTGCACTACACCGCGCCGTGCGCTCCATTGGGAGTGCAGCAAGAAATCAAAGAAGGATCATTATTTTGGTCCTTGAATGAGTAATTCAGCATTCTCGAATTCTAGCTGGAAAGCGTCCTCATTTCCCTAGTGATTACGCTGAATACTTTAGCGTCAGGTTTGACTCTATCGGCACCGTAGCGTCCTACGATCCAGTCGTTCAGTCTAGTGTCCGGTGTGGAGCGTCGCTGCAAAGCAACACCACACTTTGCGGTGGAAAATCCGGGGAAGAAATCCTCTCGAGGTAAGTGTGTGCGAGACGCGCTGGAGTCACATTACGGTCGGTACAGTCTGTCCAGGTGACCCAGCGCATCTGGTACGATTGCCCGTTGCTCGCTGTTGTGTATGAGCTCAGCGCAAAGGATTCTTGGATTATTACAAATAATTGAATGAATCCATTGTAATAACTATAATTATGGCGTAAAATTTGCGTAATACTCTTTCCCTGTAGCACAGAACTGTGCGTACTACAAAGTTGTGGTGCAATAAACAGGGTTGGCTATGGAAGAAAATGTATTTCCGGACGTGCCCCTGATAACGTTATCAAATGAACGCTCCATTTGCATTCAGTCTGCACGCTGAGACGTATTGACGTGGATAGGACCTGCGAAGAGGCCTAGATGTCTCATGCTTTGCATGCACAGGAAGACTTCAATTATTTGTATGGGCAGAGTAACACTGTTGCAGGGTAGGGTTACATAGTACTACTGTCGTGGACATGGAAATCCAGTCGAATGACCGGGGCCGGCGCCTTCAGCGCGTACAGAACGTAACGTTGTTGCACGCAATGTTATGTTGATCCGATGCGACCAGCGAGCGCATATGTACCGCTTACCCATGGCTGCATGGCCAGCGCCCTGGGGCAGCTAGACGGGCGACCGGATTTCCATGTCCGCGACTGTAGTCACTAAGTTCATCTAGATTGCACAGTTGTAACCATTGAAATTCACACTCTGGTTAGCTGGTACAGTGCCGCACGATGAAATCCAGTCTTGTCACTCAAGTTGGAGCCTTGCCTCATTTCGCAGTCCAGTGTTCGCAGGTCTAGGGCTGCGCAACGCCCGGCGCGTACTTGAGTGACGCTACTGGATTTCATTGAGCAGCACAGTGTATGATTGTACTGCAGTGCTGGCAACTGACATCCGACCCCCTGAGCGGTGGGTTCACATTCTAGCGGTCTCTGTTTCGTAGTTTTACCATCCCGTGTTGGGTCTTTGCGATATGAGAGCGCACCGCTCAGGGGGTCGGATTTCAGTTGCCAGCAGTGTCGTAAGGCAACATTGCTTCTGCAAGCTTGCATCGAGAACACTCACCCCAGCCCCAAGAGTGTACAACTACAAGTGGCATTTTGTTCAATGCAATACTGGCAGTTGTAGTGCAGGTGTGGTGTTTGGACGTGTTCGTCACCAATGTGCTTGTAGGTTACAGGGTGGACGAGTGCATCCATTTTTTGTGGGGGGGGGGGGGGGACGCAAGCGAGTGCGTGTGGTGTGCGTTGCGAAAGGCTGCCTTCTTGCCAAAGCATTTGAAGTTGGACTGGTTCCGACTCCACAATCCAGTGTGTCTTGGCTATAATTGTAGCTTTCATGGCTGAGGTTGTTGGTATGTCTGTTGGCTCTGGGTTCCCAGCACTCCGTAGCCAAGGCTGGTTGGTAAAGTAACCACAAATTCACTTCAAGGTACCAGTGCATCTAGTGTCTGCTTCTATCAAAGCAGCGTGCTTTCTATACTGGTTACCCCAGCAAGTGTAGGGTGTGCATAGGTAACTGTCTTGGCCGTTTTATGCTGATGTACTCTGTGTGGTGTAGACCTGGTGTGCATTGGTGGTCGATTCACATGGCTTCGCCAGTTGTGTGGATTGGACAGTTATCCGGCGCCAGTCTTGATCTGTCTTATTCAGATCTTGTCCGCTATCGTTGTTATAAGAGAAAGGTCGGCCAGAACATGTTCTGCTTGCTCCGGCCTCCAGGCCAGAGCAGACTGAGCAGTTACA